TGAAGAGTTCGAGTGCCTGAGGAGCACGGCCACCACTGTCCGCAGCAGACCCAATTCTCTTGCTAGTGGATACCTTGCACTAAGCCAGCTTTGGGGTTCCCCAGGGCACACCCGACTCCTGGGGATGCTCTGGACCTCCCCGTGCTTTGTCACTCTCCATCCCCGCTTCTTTCCAGCACCAGGCCACCAGCAGCCCCTCTTCCACAGGGCTTCCCTGCTCAGGACAGAGGAGCACAGAGCTTGGGGAGCCCTCACCATCCTTCTCTGCAGGACCCGGTATGGCACTGAGCTCCCCAAGGGAGGTGGAGGAGGCAGGTTACAGCACACAGAGGGACGAGGAGGACACAGTGAAGGTGGTCATGCTGGCCCAGCAATGGCTGAGCTCGCAGTGGGAGCTTGCCCTGACCCACTTCTGCAGCCGCTCTGGACCATCCATCCCAGCCTGCCCAGCACACAGACACAGCCAAGAAGAAGGAACCAAAGCAACGTCTCTGCAGGAGACCAGGGGAGAAGCATCAGATCAAACCTCCCAGACCTCCTGTGTCTCCCACTCACTGGCTTGGACCCTGGCACACGCCACCGGCTGCCCGTGCTGGGCTGCTTGGAGCTGGTGCTGCCTCTGTGCAAACGTGGTGATGAAGTCTCTTCTACAACCGTTAACGCTTCTCTGCACCAACAGATCAGCAAATGGCATCCCCAGGGGACACAGAGCCTGCTTCTGTCCTGCTCCAGAAACAGGCAGGTATCAGCCCTCACCCACATAATGACCTGGTAGCTGCCAGCCAGTCACTGGCATTGGTGCCCACCAAATTCCAGTTCACCTCCAGGAAAACGGACATTTAAAATAATAAATGACTCAAATCTCTCATTTCCTCCAAGCTTTGTCTCACCAGTGCCAGTCCCTGCCAGAAGGCAGGATGCTGGGGAGGCAGCAGGAGCTGGGAGAGAGGAGAAGTCTCTGGAGTATTGCTGGAGGGCTGGGACACTGTGGTGCCATGCAACTGGAAGAAATAAATGGAGTGACTTTCCTCCTTAAGAGATGTTCAGTGGGACGATTTTGAGCCTGAGCCTCCCTTGAAGATCTGAGCTATGCTGCCCTCTGGCCACCACCCTCCCTGCACTGCTCCAATGCTGATAACACAGCACTTACATCCAACGTTATGTATTTCTGTCACATAAAATCTATCCACGCGCAAATCTTGCTGGCCAGGTATTTTGTAGGCATGAAATAGCCGCAGTAAGAAAGAGAGCAGATGGCTGCAGTTGTCTCTTGTGCTGAGCTAGAGGAGGAGATCACTCCTGGTCTCCTGCACCATCCTGGCAGGATTTCCACCCACTGCAGTCGTGGCTGGACCCTCCTTGCAGGGTCGTCCACCCTGACCCTCCCCAGGCACTGCCCATCACACAAAGCCATGGGAGACGAGAGGAAAATCAGGGCAGGGAGTCCAGGTCCACGGTGTTACCCCAAAACCTGGGGCCAGGCAGCACACGAGGGATGGGGCAGACAGGGGCAAGGAGAACAATGGATGTGGTTCTTCTCCACAGTCTCTGCTGCCCTTCCCTGGGGGTAAGGACAGATGGGGAGGGCGTTGACCATTTGAGGAGTCCTGCCATGTCCCACTTACTGCCCTGGAAGTTTTGATCATTTCTGGTCACACCAGCTTGTATTTTTATCCCCGATCAACCAAGTGTGTCATGATCCAAATGCCTCAAGAGGGGGTTGTGAGGCACTTTGAGGCTGTATTAAAACCAGTTAAAGGGAGACACTATAGGAATTTAAAACATGTGTTCGTGCCTTGGCAGGGACATGTTAGGAAGACATCATAGCAAGGGAACATCTGCAAGGGGAGACTCCCAAGGCAAGAGCCTTCTCTTTCTCTAATTAAGCCTTCCAAAATGAGATGGGTTTACCAGGATATTGTCTGTTTGGCATGCAGGGAGGCGGAGAGGCAAACCCAACCCAGGAGGGCACAGCAGGGAGGTTTGCCAGCTGCCTGCTCCACTGGGCTGGCCCTGCCTGTGCCCCTGGAGCTGTCCTGGCACGTAGAGACCCCAGTCCTGCTGCTACCACGCAGCACCACGTAGTGCAGGAGTGCTGAGTAGTAAGCCCAGAGGAGGACACGGTCCTCTCCCATCCCACAATTTCTTTTCCCCGGCTTTTCCTTTCGCGACTGCCCTGCACTGAGCTGCTCCAGCCTGAGCATCCTTCACCCTCTGGCAAAAGGCACAAGCTGGGCTCCTTTCCCTTAGACCACAAACATCCTGCTTTTGTCTGTAGCTATCGAGAGCTGCCAGCGTTGGTTGGTACCAACTGATAAGCGTCTGAGAACCCACCAGGTACACAGAGAGCTGCCTGGATGCTCTCTGCCTCCAAGGCGGAATGTTTCACCAGGAACTAGCTCAGCTGAGCCAACAGTGGCCAACCTGACATCTCTTCCAGCCTTGCCACCAGCTCCCACACGGCAAAGCATCTCCCTCCAACACCACACCCTTCTGCTAGTGGGAAAAGCTCTGAAATTGTTTCTTTGTAGAACCAACTTGCACCAACCCCAGGCACAGCGTCCAACCTGCTATTGAAATCTCCTGCACTGCAAGCCTGGGGAGCTCACGGTAAACACAGCTCACGGGACATCCTCTGACTTTTTTAAACAAGTGCCTCTGCAGAGCCCAGCTGCAGCCTGCCTGCGTGGGGACAGATGCGGCCGGCGGGACGGCGCTGCCTGTGTTCTTGCGGAGTGAGCAGCAGCAATGGCAACATCTGTCTGTGGTCGTGTGAGCTCTGAAGCGATGATTTACTGAGCAGGAGGTTACTGCCGACCGGAGCAAGCTGCACAAGGAAGATGGGCTCTCAGCAATGCTTCTTCACGCTAAGCGGTCCCTGTGGGTAGAGAGAGACAGGTCGCAGCCAGGCTGAGCCCACCCCAGCAGGCCCCTTTGCAACAGGAGCCATGCACAGGAATGCTTGTTTGGATTTTCAGCGGAGGCATACTTGGAACATTTTAGAAAGATGATGTAGATTGGAGGCCAAAAAAAAGTCAGTATAAACTTCTCTAAATCCTTTCCCGTATTGCCTAGCAGGCAGGGCAGGACCGTGATTAAATGCCTGCGTTAAGTTCATCCCATGATTTCATTCCTCGCCAAGCAGCTGTCTGCTTTGCTTCTGCATTCACATTCTGCAGCCAAATTCTGCTGTTTGTATTGGAACATCATTAAACATGAACAACCTCAGGTGATTTTACACTCCTCTCCCAGTGCAGAATCACACCCTCCTGTAAAAAGCACCATTTCTGGCTGCCCTCTCTGCAGCAGGCTGCTTTTCCCAAAACAAAACATTTCCCAGAGGCAACACAACCTGCCTGACGAGTGCTTTTTCAACTATTTATAGCACTTCTTGAAGATTGAAATCAGACACGGAGATGACTTAAGACTTGGTGCACGTTCCTTCTCGATCTGCAGGGCGTAGCCCATACACCAGGCCAGGCTGCAGCCAACGTGATGCACAAAACCGACCGACCGACCAGGGAGCCAAACCCACTTGGGTCCTACATTTGTCCAGTGCTTGAGAAGGAGCAGACAGAAAGCAGATATGTAGAAAGTGGGACCAAAATAAAAAAAATAAAAAATGGACAGACAGAAGACAAGAGCACAACACCTGTCCAAGGCAAGATAAAGTCTAGTGACAAAATATTTCAGCCACCCAAGCTCATTTCCACCATCGGTTGCACCAGAGCTCTGCAGGTCAGGATCACATCTAAAATTTGAGAAATAAAGCAGACTTTTAACATGTCAGCCAAAACATTCACAGACACAGCGCTGGAATGAGTTGCAGTTTTTATTCGTATTGAATGGACAGGGGACAGACACTTGCAAATCAGTCGCTAACCTATTCTAAATTTGTTGTGTTTTGTTGTATTGTTTAATGCACATTAAGAACGCCGGGCTTTAGGGCACACAATTACCAGCTGGTCAGTCGGGAAGGATTTAGCTTGGAGAATGGACAGAAGCCTCTGCAGCCGCCCCCAGCGCCCCCTCCCTCGGCACATTTGGGCTGCCGGTGGCGAGAAGGAGAAGCTGCCTTGTATCGCGTCTTCTCTCTACCCCCCTCTCTCCCTTGTGCTAATTGTATTCTTCCAGATCAATGATTTAATTGCATTCAGGCCTTTTTTTCTTTTCCTTTCTGCTGCCGGCCCTGTAAACCATCTATTATCTACCTGAGCACTGTAGGAGAACAGCCAGGAGTCACCTTGCTGCAGGCCGTCCGGCAGAGAGCAGCACGAGAGGTTTTGATCCTATTAGTTTCGCTGCCAGAGCAGCAAAACCCCAGCACTTTATAAAAATAAAACTTCAAAGCAACTCAGGCAGCCAGCTCTCCCCTGACCCCCTGCTCCAAGCCAGGTTTCGTGAGGATGTTAATACGTGCCCCGCCCACACGACTGACTTCATTGAATCTCATCATGAATATAAATTACAGCTACTTGGATTTTTTTCCTTAAATGCTCTGATATCCGTGCGCAATGATTTAATTTCATATAACTTCCATGTGTTTTTTCAGCAATTCTGAGATGAAAAGAAATAATCTCTTACCACATTTTAAAGTCTGGATTTCTGCCAGTTTCCTTAAAACAGCTACAATTTGTGTCAATTCAGTAATTTCTAATTACAAATTAGTTTTCTGCTTACATTACTTTTTAAAACACAGTTCAAAAAGACACAATTACAAATTCTTCTTTTTCTATCCTAAGATCCATTCTTATTAAAAACCAAGCGCTTACACAAGACATTTGCATTTATTCCTGGTGTTCCGAAGTGTCTAACATAAAATTTGCAATTAAATTTAATCATTAAACACGGCATTACATTGGGTCAAATAGGTAGATAATGATAGCCTACTTTTCTCAAAATTATAAAAACAAGCAAATAACACGTGAGAAAGCAAACACGTTGTAAAATCAAATTAACTATGCAGAAAGCGATTCAATAACTGAGCGTACGGTGTGCGCTCATTTGTGCTAGATTGCTGTTTGAGCAACCCAGCCACACCAGAATCGACCAGTAAAGTCTTTGCCTCGCCCTGCAGCGTCAGGGGGGTTCGTGCTGGTATTCGCTATAAATTGCGAACGGCTTCTAATGTCATAACCCAGGTTCTCTCACAGCTCCCTGGCACCAGACTCGCTGCAGGCAGAGCGGAATTTCGTGTAACAGAAACCCTGAAAATTACTTCCCCGTGTGAGGATCTGATTTACAAAGTCCTGGGCAGCCTCTGCCCGGTGCTCAGAAGTGAGAGTCACACTGGGTTTTTGAGGAAGATGAGAACTTTAAGATCAGTGTCACTGGGAAACCGTTAACAGCTGTGGTGATGCTTTTAAGAGGGCGTTTGTTGCTATTTCTTACAAAGGACAGAGGGACAAAGTGCAGTCTCCACAGAGGTTTCACCCCCACCCCACCAGATTTTTTTCCATTAGTGAACTCCACTGATGCACAATACAAAGAAATGTGCTCCCAAAGAGCTGCCATCAGAGGAAAACCAAGAGGGCGGCAATGTTTTTGATTGTGCAGAAACTGGGCACTGAGCTTCAGAGAAGGGAATCGGCTGTGAAAGAAGGGGCCTCCTGTGATCGACCACCTGCAGTGCTCCTGGCTCAAGGCTGCTTCCCCACAAACCCATCCAGCCGTCAGGACGAGCGGTGGTCAATATTCCAACGACATCTGGTGACCCGGCTGAGGCAGAGAAGATGAAGGCAGACAGACATGAACTTTAGAACTGCTTTAACAATTTTAGAGAGATGAAATTCTGAGGTTATTCAACTCCTAATTCTGCATTTTGCCAGCAAAATTCTCCTTGAAGCTATTCAGCACATGCTGGAGCTCTTTTAATAGACAGTCTCCTCTCCTAGGAGGCAGAGATCATTTTCTGATGAAGCAACTACTATGCGCTCTAAGGGTGGGAATTTCAAGACCCAAGAATATAGTCAAAGCTGTAAATGAAAGAAGATTTTCTTATTTAAGTCTCAGGCAAAGTCAAAGGAAGAAGAACTCTCTCCAGCTGAAAAGTGGTTTTCAGAATGAAGTCAGCGGCTATTGTTCAGTGAGAAAGGATCAAAAATTTGATGCCAAGTGTTAGAACAAGAAGGTATTTCCAAGAAGGGAACTGCAAATTGGGGAATGGAAGATGGGATCTTGCCCTGTTAACTGGCAGCAGTTCAGCTCCAGGTTAATAAAAGCCCTGAATGCTTAAAAACTTCTTATCTACAGTCTCTTGTCTTAGTGAGCAGGTGGCCACATCCCAATCCAACTGGTATTCATCACATTACACTGATTCAGGACACCTGTAAGGAGTCTAACCATACACAGCTGACTGGGGAATAAAATGTCGAAAAAAAATAAATTAATCTAAGTCATTTGGAGAACAGAGATGACGACACACAATTTCCTAAACTTAGTGATTTGTATCAGAACTTCGTATATAGTAAATACATTTGAATTGCATAAAAGCAAGACTGATTTAGTGTGTACGATGTTGAATTAATTTAAGATAATGTTAGGAATTCCCTATTTTTAACAATTGTTTAGGGAGCAAAAGTCAAAAGTGCATGAAGGGGAAGAATACGTACACACGCTATGGAAGAAAGAGAACAATCCCTAGCACAAGGACACCCCGCAGTACATCTACACCTACTGGCCCTTCGTACGAGTGCTTCAGTCTATTTCCAGATCACTGTCTTCACTGAAACACGCAGACGGATTACGTATGGAAGTCAGAAGCACGAGGTCTTTTTCTGGCAGCAAACCACACTCCTGCAGAAAAGCCTCCAGGTCTACAGCAAAAAAATCTTCTCCAAGCTGGTCAGTGATTCGCACAAAATTGCCGATGAGCTCACCTGCCTTATAGACCAGCAGAGCTGGCAGAGCATTGTTAGTGAAGCGAGCGCTGGCACCGATGAGCGAACTCTTTACTCTGCAAAATTTCACCGTTGGATACTCGGCGGCCAGGCAGATCATACAGCCGTTCAGGGATTCAGTGCCAGGGATATCGTCTTCATAAATATGGATCATGATCAGTGTGCTCTTATGCTCTTTATCAACCGTGTCCAAAAACGCTTCTCCGCTGCTAATCTCAAAAACCTGTTTAAATTGCTGCCCGCTGTACAGCTGCTGCCTCATCTCCTCCATTCGCTGCTTCCTGTATCGCTGCAAGAATTCCTCATCGTCTTCATCATTGTGAATCATGTCATATTCTTGTAATGTCATCTAAAAAAACGTATACAAAGGTACATTAAAAAAAAATCTGCATCACCATACGGATCACTTACGTAACGAGAATTTGTATCAAGAGGATTAATGTGGGTCACTCATCTTTAATAACAGCAAAGTGCAACCCACGAAGGCTCAAGCATCCTCTGTATTACACTCTGGTTTGACCCAATTAGAAACCATCCAGTGGGAACAGCAGTTTCAGCCTTGGGTATTGCTGTTTCCACAAGCTGCACTAATAACGCGAGTGGCTGCTCCACGCTCCCACTTTAATTCAGGTTAATGGTGGTTACGTGCTTTCACTAAGCCCTGAGCGCTCATCTGGATACCGTGCCTGACCTAAGTCCACCTTCTTTTCCATCAGCTTTTTCATTTAGTTTTTCAGTTAACATTTTGTGGTAAACAAATACACAATCTCGTGTGTAGAACTAAAATTAACAGGATTTTACGTATTCGGCATCTGTTCACTTGCTTTCTTAAACATATTCGCATCACTCAAGGTATAGGACGGTGTGGCCAGCTTTCATCTTCTGAAAGCAAGAAGCACTGTTGGCTAATGAGTAACTTCTCTGACAAGAACCGTGAGAGCTCCTTACACAGCCCTCTTGATCGACACCATTCATTAATTCCAGCGCCTTCTCTCTTTGGAGCTCAAAGTCAAAGCTAAATTCTCAGCATCCTGTTACTAAGCAGAAAATCAGTAAGGACTCCTGAAGTCTTAGTTCAGACATGGGAGGCAGTATTCACAGGTTTGCTGCACAACTCTTCAAACCAATCCCCTGAAGTTGACTTGTTTGATAAACAGATAAGAGAAATCTGGGAAAAGGATGTGGACTTCTTCAGTATAGCACCTAAAGGGCTTTTTTTCTTAACACAGGCAAATGCAATGCTCCTGGAGTATCACTAAAATGCAGAATCATTAAACTTGACAACACCTGGCAAACAGTTACAACGCATCTCTTGCACCACTCACATGTTGCTGTTTACTAGGGAGAAACATCAGGTGACAGAACACAGATTTCTATCTGCTTCACGTACACAAATGATGAAATCGAAAATCTTAAACTCTGAAGTGGTATTTTAATCCTTCATGCCATGCTACCTTTCCATTGATCTTCTCCTGGAGCTCTTTCTGCTTCTGCTTCTCAGACTCGTCATCTAAGTGAGATCTGCATGTCATAGATAACTTCTTTATCAGTCGTTCCATTTCTCTGCGCTGCTCCTGCCGCTGTTCAGTTTCCAGTTGTTTAAATCTTCGCCAGTCATTAATGACTCCTTTGGGACCTGAAATTGAATACGTAGGCATTTCATATAAAAGAATAACAAAATCACACTTACCATTTCAAATTCAAGTAATAATTTACAAGTCAGCAGTAAAACAGTGGTCCTGTCATAAACTTTTTGTATCCTGTGCAAAATGTTGAAATGAAAAAAGCAATCTGCCATTTATGTGTCCCTGAGCTTGTATCTTTTTTTTTTTCCTGAGATGACTAACTAGGCTACTCTTATAATTGTCCCAAAGATTAATATCTGCGCTCTTCAAATAGAACCACCAGCCCTCAAGAATTGCCCTACTGGTAGCAGGGCCTTTCATAACAACAGAAATGACGACAGGGAAGTATAATTAAGTTTGCCAACGCTCTTGCACAGAAGTACGTTCTGTGCTGTACTACTGTGTCAATTCTTAGAGACTGCACCTTGCTGTTACCCTGCTGCTGGGGCCCAGCAGAGTTCCTTTTTCAGGTCCTCTGAAGAAACTTTTGTGCTTCGTATGCAAAGCTTAACCACTTCAGATACAACACAGAGGTCTCTCAGAGAAGTCAAACGTTAAAAAGAAAGAACTGGCTATTAAAAACAAGGTTAGACTATAGCCACAAAACGGTCAATCTCTGACTCAAGCATGAATAAAACCAGAACTTCCATTTTGAAAAATGAATTATAGAACAACACATGGATCTTCCAGCAAACAAAGTATTTACGGAACCATTAGTGTGATATGACGATACCTGTGTTGACGGCACTGCCATCGCTGCTAAGCTCCACCTCCCCAACGCTGTCAGGAATGCTGCTCTCTCCTTCCTTATCTTCTTTCTCACTGTCTTCATCCTCACCCTCACTACTGCTGTAATAGTACTGGAGCTTCTCACCAATCAGTTTATCATCCAAAGTAGTCATTATGCCCTAAAAAAATAAATTAGCGAAATAGAGAATGCATTGCTTATTCAAACATGCAGCGTGAGATACCGCTTGAAGTGCACGATATCCCTTTCTTTCCACAGGGCAGCTTTTCAGCCACAGAAGAACAGTTTACAGCCCACTATCAAACAGCCTGCAGCGCAGTCAGTCACTTGAGTTAATTCTTAAGTCATAATTTCAAACTCACTTAAATTAAAAACCTTTACAAAGAGAACTGCTTTAAGGCTCACTACTGCAGCAACACTTTGTACGTATTCTTATTCCGAGAACTAACTTTGTAACTGTGACTCAGGAATCTTATCAGTCTCACTCAGCTCTATGAGGTTGATTTCCCAGTTACTGGAATTTAATTTTCTAGTATTATTTGCCTAATTTTAACAATGATTCATTTGAGCGTTGAGAAATTATCAGTGTAGCTAATCAAATTAAAGTGTTCTGACCTTAATTCCTTTTCAGTCTTTCAGAGACAAGCTTCTAGCAAAACCTGGAAGAAGAAATTTCAGACGGTATTAATTCAAATCGTTAAAGACAATCTCACAAGAACTTTTGCGGGAAGTCACCCCATGCACAATATATTCAACACATGCTAGGAAAAATGTTTCAAGAAAAGGCAACCATGTTTGCTGTTTAATAAAAAAAGGTTACTTCTAAACACAGAAGATGTATTTTTTAAGTATTGAGTGCTACAGTTTCATGAACATCGCTTCCAGGCTAAGAAATAACACATCAAAAGAAAGATCTGCCTGTCTGTCGTCTTTTTACCTGCCCGCTGACTGCATCGCCACAGAAGTCAAGAGCGTGGTGTTCGTATGGACAACATCGAAATTAGATGCTGACACGTCACTGATAAAGTGATGGCGACGCTCCTAAAAATCCTCACTTTTCCCAAGTTAAACATTTTTTTAATCCAAAATAGCTCCTGCTAAACAGCAGTGAACAGCAGAATCTATGCTGCAAAGCTACTGACAGTGTCAGCATTTACAGCCTGCAGGCTTCTCACAGAACAAACAGGCTGGATGTTTCCAAGTGATGGAAAAGGCTGAACAACCACGGAGCCCCTGAAGAGCTCAGCACTCTCTCCCCACTGGCTCCTTCCACCAAATTCTCTAAAAAAGCTGCCGACGGAACCTCGCCCTGACTGAGATCAAAACGCCCCAGAACGGCTCTTCCCCCAGAACGGCTCTTCTCTCGGGGCAGGGAACGCCGCCACGGACCTGTCATGCGCGAACCGGCTAAACAGACACAAGATTTCATTAAAAACACCCTAATTCAATCAAATCGGTTCATTTGGGCT